ATGGAGTCTTGCTCTTGTCGCCCAGGCTGGAACGCAGTGGTGCAATCTCGCCTCACTGTAGCCTCTGCCTTCCAGGTTCAACTGATTCTCCTGCCTCAGCCTCCCAAGTAGCTAGGATTATCGGTGTCCGCCACCATGCTTGGCTAATTTTTGTATTTTTAGTAGAGACGGGGTTTCACCACGTTGGCCAGGCTAGTCTTTAACTCCTAACCTCATGATCTGCCCACCTTGGGCTCCCAAAGTGCTGGGATTACAGGCGTGAGCCACTGTGCCAGGCCGTATCTCCAGTATTTCTTTGTCCTGATTTTTATTTTTCTCTTTCTGGGACATCTAACATCTTTGTTAGTAGTACTACTTCTACCCCCATTTATCTTTTAGCTTTTCTTTTTATATTTTCTATTTCTCTTTTTCTTAGGGATTTGCTCATTCTAGTCTTCTAATTAAGTCACTTGTTCTCTTAGCTGTACCCACTATATTATTTATCCCATCTCCTGAAGGCTTTAATTATCTCATTTTTCAATCTTACAACTTGGCTTGGTTCTCACGTTTTCCAGTTCTCATTTCACATTACTATCTTTCCCTTATTTCTTCTAGTACATTTACTATAATAATTTTAAATTACTGGACAAGTATTCTAATATATCTGCTTCTACCAAAATCTTTGTTTCTCATACGTCTATTATTTTTAGTTTGTGAATTTCTTTTCACTCCGAGGTATTGGCTCATATCAGGCAGTGCCTATGGAAGGCTAGACTCCAGACTGGCTTATGCCCAATCAATTCAGGGCTGAGTGGTGGATAAAATCCAAGGCAGAAAAATGTAATCACTCACTACCTTGCATTTTAATTTTCTAAGTCGGGTAGTCACCCTTTACTCCCAGCGAGAAGCAGTTAATTAGAAGACACTACTGGGCTATAATCCCCCAGTCCTGGGACTGAGAGGGGATGATACTGAAGCAATTATCCATGGTTAACTGGTCTCCACCTGTTTGTCTCAGTGCCTCACAAACATCAGGGGTTATACACCGTCCTGATTTCATTCCTACCTCCACCTGGATCGGATCTTTTAGTTGATACAGATTTGGATGCAGGCATTATTCATCTCAGGCAATGATAAAGGAGAACTGAAAGCAGAGCCTTAACAGTTCCTTTTCTCCTTTATTCTCCCAGAACCCATTTTATTCTCTGGCTGTGGGAAAATGCTCTGAGAGGTAATTCAACAGTGCCTCCCATAGGCACTGCCTGATAGGAGCCAATACCCCAGAGTGAAAAGGAATTCACCAACTAAGGATGTTCTTCTCTTCCCCATCTCCCACATTCACCTTTCAAAACAGCTCTTGTCGGCAGACGTGGTAGCTCACACCTGTAATTCCAGCACTTAGGGAGGCCAAAGCAGCCGGATCACTCAAGGTCAGGAGTTCGAGACCAGCCTGGCCAACATGGTGAACTCTTATCTCTACTAAAAATGCAAAAAATTAGCCAAGCATGCGGGCATGTGACTGTAGTCCCAGCTACTCAGGAGGCTGAGGCAGGAGAATCTCTTGAACCCGAGAGGCAGAGGTTGCAGTGAGCTCAAACTGCACAACTGTACTCCAGCCTGGGCAGCAGAGCAAGACTCCATCTCAAAAAATAAAAAATTAGAAATAATTTAAAAATTTTTTTACATAAACCAGCCCTTGTCAACTCAGAGTTTCTCCAAATTTTCTCCATTTTCTCTTTCAAGTTCCTCTAGAGTTAAACTTAGGGAAAGGACCAATAGCACTGGTCTTCATTCTCTGTCAGGGCATGCATTTTCTTCATGTGTTTTTCAGGGATTTGGTTTGCTAGCTCATCCGACAGAGAAAAATTCTGTGTCCCTCCTACCACTACCCGTCCCCTTTCTAAATATAAATTTGGGCTGGTTTCTATCCATCCCTCAGAGTCCTGCTCCAGATCTAGGTCTACTGTCGGCAGCTCAGGTCACAAAACCTTTGGTCACATAAGGGCAAGGAAGACTCAGTCATCAAGACTGCAAGTGCTTGGCCCAGGTCCTGGTTACAAGACCAGACCTGTTTCCTCCATATGTACACAGCTTTTAAAAAGCCAGTGAACCTTCGTAATACTTTGGCAACCTTCTTTCACAGGCAGAGGAGCACCCCCATCTGCTCACCCCTTGTTTGAAGTACAAAGTTTGGCTTTGGTTCTTTGCCTTGCTTGGCGTATACTTCTAATTCCTGTCTTGCACAAGCTGAATCCCCAGCTACCTACCACCACCCAGGCCTACAGGTTTCCATTCATTGATTACTTTGTGTTTCTGTTCCACTGCTGGTCCACAGAAATAGTTTTCCTTTTGAGGAATGTGATGATACCTCTTTTATTTTCTCCTTTCAGATTGTTTTCTATCATTGTTATGTGTTTGGCCCAGAAGAAAACTGAAATTCACCATCATCTTGACTGGCAATCCCATGACCATGCTTTTTATTTGCTGCTTTTTAAAAACCACCATTTTTCTTGCCTCACATTGGCAGAACAGCTTTTCCTGGCTACTGGCTTAACACAGTCAGTTCTAGGTGGCATTATGCATGAGACCTGAAGCATAGACTGTCTTACCACAAAAGATGACCTTAGCCATCAGGGCTATTTCAGGTTTCAAAGCTATCTGTTCTGTTCCTGCTCACTCACTGTCCTGGCTTTTGTCCTTCTTCATTTCCAGCACCAGAATTTCCCAGTTCCCCTCCATACCTCCCTTTGTTTTAACTCTCATCTATCTGCAAAATAAATTTTCAAAAGTTTTAACCAGTTATTTCCATGTGTTTGGAGTGGGACAAGCAGGTAAGAAAGTCAAGAGAAGCGTTCTTCTTGAGTTCAATTCAACGTACTGAAAGAACATCAAGTTATTCCCGCTTGTCTTTTAAGCTCAAGCATCACCTGTCAGTAAGTATTCCCCTACCCTCTCAGCTCAGATCCCCTCTTATTTACCCCACAGCACCCTCTACTTAACTGCAGTAAATTTTAAAGCAAGAAAAATCTTAGCTAACTTTTTAAACAAAATCCACACCAAAAACCTCTATTACAGCTACCTACAGGTACAAAAGTACAACATATCCTTCTACCGCCCAGCACTCACACTCACCATTTCATTGGGATGGACCAAAAACAAATAGATCCCTGGATGTTTGTCAAACACCTGAAAGGAGCAATTGGCTTGTTCCATCCGACAAAGTGCTTCAACACATAACTCATCTAGAGAGAAAAATATAAGTTAAGTAAAACATATAAATCTCATCACTTTATCAAGATTCCCTAAATTAGGCTCCTTGGGTTACTCTATAAATAAATGAAAATTTGCTTTTTTTTTTTTTTTTCCCCAAACTGAGGCATAAAAATGCTCATATTGTAAATGCAGGAACAATATTTGCATATCTGGAAGACTAAATCTGTTGATCATAGGGTGTTGTTAGAAAGTATTCTGACCTTATTAAAATATATCTCTTTTTTTACACTTAGCATAATTATCTCGAGGGAATATGCAGAAGACCTGTAACCATATGGTTGTAGGTCCAATTCCATGTGTATTTTATGTTTTGATCCACCTAGACTTATCTGATATAAAACAAGGAACAAAATCAGCTTTACCCCTAAATAACTAGCTGTCCTGCTCCCATTTATTGAACAATCCATTTACTCTTTCAGATTAATCAGCTTTTAGCTGTAAAATTTCAAAAAATATTATTGCTTTTTCAAATTACATTTTCAATATTATAGTTCTTTGACTAGTGACAGACGTTGGCTTTGGGGATGGGGAGATATAATGATTGGAGAGGCACGAAGGGAGCTTCTGGGATGTTGATAATGTTTTGAAGCTTGATCTGGATGCTAGCTGCACAAATGTGTTTAATTTGCAAAGAAAATCAAGCTTATATACTTTTATTTTATTTTATTTTATTTATTTATTTATTTATTTATTTATTTATTTTTTGAGACAGAGTTTCGCTCGTTACCCAGGCTGGAGTGCAATGGCGCGATCTCGGCTTACCGCAACCTCCGCCTCCTGGGTTCAGGCAATTCTCCTGCCTCAGCCTCCTGAGTAGCTGGGATTACAGGCACGCGCCACCATGCCCAGCTAATTTTTTG